GGGCAGCCTGCATAGTGAACCCTTCATCTCCAGCCCCACAACAATGATTTAAATGAAGCATGTACATTTTCATTTTATTTTCCAGAAAACAAAAATTGATCTAAAGATCAGAGCAGTGGCAGGTAAATCTTCTAGTAATACATAATTCCTTTATTGGAGGCTGTCAAAAACCTTCATAAAAGGATTTTGCTTCACAACATCCACAGTGATTATTCTTCATTTGACAGATGAGCTATGGCTCAGATTAAGGGTTTTACCCAGCGTGTCACTGTAAATCTGTGGTAGAACTGGTGTTCCCATTTCTTTGGGTTAATCTTACAGCCTGCTCTCTCCATTTCACATATTACAGAAATCCTGCACAAAGCTGGTAGGCCTCCATATGTGGTGGATAGATCTTGTTTTCTTTGCAAAATCTCTGGTTCCTGATACAAGTGTTGTCTTCCATATTAGTTTTGAAAGCCAAAGAATGGTTTTCTTTAACAATCTCACAACAACAAATAAATGTGATTGTGATAAAGACCATTATTCAACAGGGAGGAGACCTACCTATGAAATAAGAGTTGAAAAATGAGTTAAACAATTCTTTAAAAGTGCCATTACATAAGGTAGCTATGGCAATATCTTAAAAACATGAGGTAACTTAAAACTATCCTTTATTTTTCATTCTTCTCTAGAGTACTGAAAACAGGCTAGGTTCCATTGTTTCCTTTTTCTCTATGCACTAGCGTAATGCTTTGGAGTTTGGACTTTTAAATACTATCCTAAGTGAATGAATTTTTGTATAAATCAAAACACAAGCACCACATTTAAACAATTCCTTTTTTAATTAACCCTTCCTTTCTTTTGGAACTTGGGCAACATTTAAATCCCCCACCCCCCATCCCTTGCCCTCACTCCCCAAATAAATCAATGGTGGTTTCTTTAAACAGTTTTAGAATAACCCTGCTGCCTTTTTTTCCTTTGCTGGAAAGAAACTAAATATAAAACATAGCCAGTTTAGTACATACTACTGTATAATTCTTGGAGGTTTTAACACCATAATTAACTCACAGGTGTCCAACATGCAAATTTAATATACAAACCTGAATGCTTGTCACTTTGCCATCTGTAAATACAGCAAGTACGGAGTTTTTCCAGCATTAAGGAGACTAGTCTATCAAAATAAGTGTGAAAATGTGAATATGCAACAGATTGGGGGGGGGGATTCATTCATGGAATTAGAGTAATTTTAATTGATTAGGCACATAGAATGATAATTGGAAAAACTCTTAAATAAGGCTGAAATGGCAGTAAGAAGTGCAACAAAAAAGAAAATGTGGCTTTTTAGAAATTCAGAATTTGAAAATCTTGGTATGGAACCGCAAAGCAAAACTATATTTTACTATAACGTTTGAAATGTGTTGCCAGTGGAAAAAGGTAAATTATGGCTAGGATCTTATCCCATTGACGTGAGGACTGTGCATGAGAACTCTTAAATCATTCCAAAACGTTGAAGTAGTGCTTCATTAGTAACTTGTTGTATTTACTATAGATATTGTAGAACTGCCTTCGAGTCTGGATTAGGGCCTTGTTTACAAACCCAGAATAAAAAGACAGCCTCTGTTCCAAAGAGCTGCTCTGAGCAACATTGGCCTAGAACCAGTCAGTAACATGTTCATCTCTTCATAAGGTGTTAAGTCTAGTACTATATAACTGTAACTGAGCCAAGGAAAGTTTCAGGTATTCAACAAATCACACCCTGTCTCCCAAATAGAGACCTGAGCATGTACAGCTCTTAGAGCTTGTCTTCACTATTCTCCAGATTGGGTGGGCAAACTCTGACCTACGTACCAGATACAGTTTGCAGGGTTGGTCCCTGGCAGGCCTCCACCTCTATATTTACCTGTGAAGGTGCAAGTATCAGGCTATCTGCGGCCAAGGGGAGCTGTGTCATCAGTCATGGCCAATAGGAAGGCAAAGGTAAATATAGAGGTGGGGGCTTGCTAGGGACTAACCCTGGTGGGCCTTTTTAAATGTCCATTCCTTGGTCCAAATTTGAGGCAGCAATCGATAGTGTGGGAGTCAATGTATTGCTTGTAGTATACTCAATAGATTGGGCTGTGTGTTAGGTGTGGTACTCCACCTCAACCAAAAGCACCAGGGGAGTCTACGGGAGAGCATCTCCTGTCAACACAGTGCAGTGGAAATAATGTTATGTAAGCAAATCAAAGTGCGTTGACTTAGCTACACTATTCAGATCAATGTCTCCTGTAGAATAGACTTGCCCCTTGGGCTGTATCTAGACTGCAGGCTTTTTTTCGAAAAAAGTAGGCTTTTTTAGAAAAAACTTCACCTGCCTCTAGACTACAGCCGTGTTCTTTCGAAATTAAATCAAAAGAACGTGGCTTTTCTTTCGATGGTGGTACTCCTCATTTCACGAGGAATAACGTCTTTTTTCGAAAGTGCTCTTTCGAAAAAAGGCGCTATGTAATGCAAACTGTGCTTTTTCGAAAGAGAGCATCCAGACTGCCTGGGTGCTCTCTTTCGAAAAAGCGGCTTGCTTTTTCGAAAATACTGGTTGCAGTCGAGACACTCTTTTTCGAAAGAGGCTTTTTCGAAAGTATATTTCGAAAAAGCCTCTTTCGAAAGAGGCTTGCAGTCTAGACGTAGCCTTGGTGTTGAATGGTTAGATCCAGTTTTTCTCTTAGGCTAGAGAGCATTATCCTAACAAAGCTCTCCAGAGTCTGATATGAGACCAATTGGTTTAAAGTTTGAGGTCTGTTGATCTTTCACAATATTCAGCACTGTAGGTGGGCAGGGTTTTCAGAAGAGTTTGGCATCCCATAATCTTTGATGGGAATTGTGGGTTGCTGAGCACTTTTCAAAACATGCATAGCGATAAAAGAATACGAGCTGCAGTGATAAAGGTCAAGCATTAGTCTTAAAGTGAACCTACAAGACGAAAACTATTTTCACACCACTTGGGCAAAAGTAATAGACATACACTTGTAGCAAATTGCGAAGACAATATAAAATGATTAAACTCCTCGTAAGCAAGATGAAAACTGATTAGTGCACTTATGCAAGGTTTAGAAGTACCCCGTCAAGTAATTTTTGAACAGGTTTGAAGGGATGGGTACTCAAATGTTTTTTCCAGAAGTACCTCAGAGAGCAGTGACATGGATGCCACAGAAGATTGTAGCCACTGAAAAAGTTAGCAAATACACTTACAAGGGCATTTGCTAAAGTGTCACCAATTTAGATCCTCACTTGCTCTTAGATAGCGTGTGTCATAATTTCAAAGTCCATTACGTTTTCGGAACCACTTCAGATCTTAATTTCAACACTTTTCCTGTAAATTGTTTATATATTTACACACACATTTGTGCACATCAGAAGATGACTACAGAGAAAATTATCTGTATTCCCCTCCTAGCAATCTGCATAGACTGTAAAACTAGAAGTATATGCTTAAAGTTATCCTCCAATGAGTTTTTCTAATGGACAAGCAATGCCCTTGCCAGCAGAGGGTGGCTGGGGGCATGAATGTATTGCTACTTCTCTTGCACTGCAATATAAATGTACAGTGTTTTAAAAAAGCTACTGGATAATCTATCGTGTCAAGTCTCAGATATGCTTTTTGACCATTCTCACAGCTTGTGCTTTACAAATAGCTATTATAACTTCTTGTTGCTTTTGCTTACATTTACTTTCTTTCTAAAGTATTCCTATTTATTAAGTCCTGTTTATGGCATTAACTCCTTTCTCATCCATATACCTGGTTGAGTTTTAATTAAAAATGGCTTTACTTCTAGGCTTTCACTTATTTATAAAATACTTTTAGATGATACTTGGATCCTGTTTTTTTTTAAATTTTCTATCCATTTAGTCTATTTTCATCTGTTTTTTCTGTAATTTGCTTCATACATCATCTGCCAATTTTGACTTAAAAATGGTGTGTGGATTTATTTATTAACATAATTTCCTGGTATACCTTTCTGTGTTCTAGAATATAATCATTCAATCTTTTACCGTATAACTTTTAGGATTGGATGCTAAATAGGTTATAATAATTATCTGTGACAATCATGTTACAAAAAACATGTCTTGTTTTCTATTGTTCTCTGCTCCCTTTCCTCCTTTCTGCAGTACTTTGCCAAGCGACTAAAGGGTAACTACGGTAGTTGACAATCTCTCTCTTAAAAGCGAAACTGTAGGCTACTCAATTTTCTTCTCTCTTACACAAATTCTGGTTGTATTCTTCATCTATTGTGCATACTCGTAGAAACCTGCTGTGAGTTTTTGTTTGTTGGTGAAATGGCTTGAATGGAATAGTATGTTCCCTTCACAAATGTCTGCCTTCTGTACCATGACCAGATCTTCTAGTCATGTTTTCTGACTGGTTTTTCTAGTGCTGAAACAGTGTTTAATATTCTAGCCGGAATGCAATCTTATAATTTAACTTAGCAGCAGAAGTGAAGACTCTTAAATTAGACTCTTCATTATGGTTTCTATGGTTACATTAGAGGAGAAACCTACTAAATGCAAGTCAGAAGGGCACAAAAAAGTGCTCTGGTAACAGTTGCCATCATTATTGTAGCTTTACAGTCTCCAGTTTAATTCCTTAATTTCTCTTTAAAATCTGTTCCATTTAAGAGGGAGTCTGTATTTCTGAAGATTAGCTACTCTTCCTTGTAGAAAATATTTTTTTGTTAGGATTTAAGTTTTACAACAAAGTTTTTTGTGCTTTTGGAATAGACATTTCTTTAGCTGTCCCTGCAAATGAGAGCAGACTTAAACTGAATTGCTTTTTTGTATGTGTGGTTGAATTATTGATCTTGGTTGAGAGCCTTTTAAAAATGTTTTGTCACTAATTTTCATAACTTCCTTTAAAATATTAGCCCATGTTATTATACCCATATGCAGTTTGTCTGTATTGTCTAATGTTAATATTTAATGATAAAAAATCAGTTTCTGCCTCCATGCACAATACCTTCTTAAACTGGCCTTTTGATTCTTTTCCTGTTTACTTTTAGATGTCACTTCCACTAAAACGACTTGTGGCGATAGAATACTCTGAAGACAGGCTTACAGATCTCGCAAGGAACAGATTGTCTAACCAGGCATGGATAATTAATGATAGTGAGGAAAAAATTAAAGTATTTTTTCCCCCTAGTTGTGTTGTGGATATGGAAGTAAAGAGGCCCAATAGTTGAGGTACTTGTATGAGATACAGGAAAGCCAGGTTCACGTCCCTAACGTGCCATAAACTTCCTGGGTAACTTTGGGGAGGTCACTTAACCTCCATCTCCATACTTCATCAATAAAATGGGAATGATACTGCTTCCCTATCTTGCAGGGGTTAGGTATGTTAAATAGCAGTTAGTAAGTTAATTGAGTAGTCGATAAGGGGGTTCTCTGCAGCTCTGCTTTTTAAATGCAGTAAGAGCCATCGGGCTCTTACTACATTTAAAAAACAGAGCCACAGTGGTCTGGAACGTGCCTCCCTGTGGAGACCATTTTGATACAGAGGGGGGTGGTGTGCGTGCGCGTGTAGTGACTTGACTAGTTGTTTACATCCCTAGCAGGGGTCCTGGAGAGGAGGTGGGCACTTCTGGGATTAGAAGACTGCCCACTGAAACATTACAAAATAATGTCATCACAGCCAAGTGAATGCATAAACAAGTTCTGTGGCCACTTCTTGTCTTATCTGTTCTCTCTTGTGACTTGAGGGAGGAGAAAAAGATACTGGTTTATAATGGAAGAGGAGCAACGAAAATCAAATAATTGTATAACTCTCACTTCCTTTCTATGTAACTTTTGAGTCCTGTGTAGATAATATGAATAAGAACTTAGTAAAAAATTTTAAAGCAGAAGAAAGGGGAAAAATTGTGTAACACTCGTGGTATGTTTGGGGGGGGGGTACAAACTATGATTTAAAGATTTGTTTCGTACTCCTTTATTAAACTAATTATGTAAATAATCAAAGTGGCTGCAGACTTCATTTTAAGTTGCTAGCCAGTATTCTTCAGTTCTACCTGTGATAATGTGCAAAGAATATGTAGATATGCGATCTTAAAAAATGGCAATAAATAATAGCCAATGGGCAAAAACCTCTCTGAATCAAGCATTAGAGATGGCCAGGTCAACTTCAAAATGATGTTGAATTATGTAATCAGTAAATACGCTTTTGAGAATGGGGAGAGAGGGAAAGAAACACGGATGGTTTCTGCATTCAGTAACATAGATCTCGATACATAAACATGACGTGGATTAATGTAAATTTATTTCAATGACATCTTAACAAAGAGATGACAGAGCCCTAAGCAAACTGTTAGTCTTGTGTTAAATTTAAGATTTGTACTGTGAATAATAACTTCTTGGCAGAAGTGAATTTCAAATGCCATGGTAGTAAATAATTCCATAGCAACAAATTCACTCTGGAGTGAAGTGTTTAATTGTGGCTATTGACTACTAGGTTAGTAACTGGTATTGGCTTTTTTCCACTCCTCAACCTTCTCCAGTTTTGAATCAGCAAAATTATCATCCCTGTCATTCATTTTGAGATACTTACTCTTCCACTTTATTTGATTTTTATATAATTTATAAATACATTTAAATCTTGGATGAGAAGTTAGTTTCTCAGTGACAGACACGCAGATTAGTTTGCAAACTTAGAATTTACTGATAATTTAGAGTTCAGGTTAATGTCTCTACTTTGGTACTTTCTATACAGATGTTGAGGCACTCACTCTGCTTTGCTCTGTGTCCATGACTGAAGTTGTGGTTTTAGATTTTTGTAATGTTTTTAACAAGAATTTCTTCTTTCATTCTGCATCATCACAAGGGCTGGCTTTTATGGTGTTTGTAAAATTTCCAGCAAGAAGATTTGGTGGCAGAAGGTATCTTAAGCAGTTGTTGTTTGTTGTTTTTGCCAGGTCTGTGGTGTTAACTTGGAGCATCAAAACTGTTTTCAAATGCCAGATTTCTTTGTTCTGTAGCACCATGCAGAGGCTCTGAGGCATAGTGGAAAATGTCTAAAAAAAAATTTATTCTCTGCCAAGATATAAATTTAGGCCAGCACTACTATTAGGTAAGCAAACAGAGAACTTTGACAAACTCCCAGTGTCAAAATTTCCAGTTGGGTCTTGTTAAATTATAAATAAATGAACACTATAAATAAATGAACACCCAAGAGCCTGTGTGACCCATATACTTGCATTGTCAGGCCCTTGTCCTCTACTTAGGGTAACTTCACCAAAGCGTGCACTCCTTAATTCTTCGCAGACACCCAAAGACTGGAGGGTTGTGGTGAAAAATATTAGCTATCTTTGTAGATGAGGTGGGTCAGGTCATGTCACACCAAACATGTTGGACCAACTTATTTCGGTGAATGAGGACAATCTTTTGAGCTGGACAGTTCTTCAGGATTTTGTGTCCAGAGTGCAATGGATAAGGCTGTGTGCTTGATCCCTCATGTACTGTTATTAATGTGCATTTGAACAGGACCATCTCTGGGGGGAGGGAAGAGGTGCAAGGCCCAGGACAACCTCATCCCCAGGCCCTGCCTCACTCTGCCCGAAACCCCCTCCATTCCGTCCCCCAAGCTCTGCCCCTGCCCCATCCTCTCCCGCCTTCATAGCATCCATTTCCTGAAGCCTCTTACCCTGAGCGACACAGCCCAGGGAATTATCGGGGGCCTGGCATGGCGTTGCAAGGGAGATTGAACCACTGCCCTTGCTGTGGTGGTGGGAGCCGTGGGAAGCAGAGTGACCCAGCAGCCTGTTTCACTCTGCTGCCCATCTTCCAGCTAGGTCACTCCACTTCCCTGAGCCTGCGTCATTCAGGGGAACGGAGTTAGTTGGGGCTGGGTCGGGGCGGCCTGTGAGCCTAGGCAAACTATGCAGTTGCCTAGGGAGCTGCTGGCCTGGGCGCCCCGTGATGATGTCATGGCCATTGACGGCCGTGCAGGCGGGGGTGCTGATAGCGCCTCTGCCTAGGATGCCAGCTGCCTCAGCCAGCCTCGGGCCGCTCCTGGGCTGGGTTGCTCTGCTTCCTGCTGCTGGGGAGAAGTGGAGTGACCCGATTGGAACACGTCAGGGCAGAGCAGGCTGCTGCGTAATTTGGCTTCTCACGACTCCTGCTGCCACAGTGAGTGCAAGGGAGGCCTGATCCCTGCTGTTAGCCTCAGGCCACCCTGGGCTCTGTGGATGAGGTTGGAGCTAAATATGGGGGACTGTCCTGTCCATGGGACAAACAGGGTAGCTGGCATGGGATCCCCCGCAAAGGGCAGGGCCCAGGGTGGCTGCCACAAACCATTCTATGGGCAGGATGGCTCTGCATTTGACACCAGCCCCTTCACTTAATGGAAGACTCTACTGGTAATGGCTGAAGAAGCATTGACTCATCCTCAGAGATGTTTAAGTACAAAGCATTGACAGATGTCTCTGTTAATGAAGTAATAGGAATGTTTAATGGGCATGTTTGTTTTACTGGCCTAACAAGACCCTGTTAAACAGTGTGGGTTTTTTCCCTCTTCTTCCTTGTTGTTCACTTAAAGGTACTTGTACCATCATCATGGCAAAATCCAAAGGGATGTGGTTTGCTTGCATATTGAATACTGCCCTGATCAATCTCTGGCAAGGTGTTGAAGGTAGTCTGACTACATATTCAGTTTATGTACATCATTGGCAATCCTATTGTGCCACTTACATTTTTGGTGCTCATGTGATCCCTGGCTATGTAGTAGCATTTCTTGATGATCATGCTTTGGATTCCATTGGTCTTCCATTCTAATAATATATCCATGCCAAGAAAGCTGTCAAAACCAAACCAGTGCTGATGAAAGTAGTTGCTGGGTTTGGCTTTGAATAGTCTCATTTCTGATCTAGTCCTGTAACTTGTCTAGAGAAGCAGAAGACAAGAATCAAAGAGCTCAAGCCAGCGTACATCAGGTTTCCTCAGTGCCTGTTTCTCTTCCACACAGTAGAGCTTGCTTTATTGCAGTTCTGCAGAGCCACAACTCTGTCTCAATCTTGAGGTTATGACATCTTCAGAGAGACCACAGATGGGCCTTAAATGCAGCAGTAGCTGCTGCAGCTATGTGCGTAGGCACATAAATTCAAACAGGTCAACATGGAGCTGGTTATAATCTAGAGTCGTCTTCGTGGTAATGGCCAGGAACTTGAAAATGGTATCTCAAATTAATAACCAAACCAATGCACGGTGCTTCTTGCCCAACCAGATTGTCCTGCTGGCTCCATTTGGGGAATTGCTGCAGTGCACGGCCAATATCATCAACATATTTGAGATCTGGATGCAGAATGGCATTCAGCTCAGAAGCACCAACAGCTGCCTCTTACCCATCAGCCAATCAGGGCTGGTATTGAGCAATGGTGATGGACACAGTCTTGCTGAGCTGCCATGGAGAGAGGCATTCATGCTATGTATCTGCATGCAACTTGCACACACAGCTTTTGTTCTGTGATAGAGCTATTCTAGCAAGGACAGTGTCTTCCCTCACTCACCTCATCAGATCTCACAGACTTGCTCGATTTACTGAATCAGAGGCCTGATGGGAATCTGTAATAAGTGCTGACTGGCTCAGTAAATTCAGTCATCTTCTCAAACAGCTGTCTTGGGTAAAGACGTGGTTGACAATGGAAATACCAAGTCCACAAAGCACATCATAGATACAAGACATGAACACAGGAGCAAAGACTTTTTTGTCCTGTGACCAACAATAGTGCAATACCTCTATGTAGTTGCTACACTCAACCTTATCACATTTCTTGGAATGGAGACAGTCTAATGGCTTTCTTGGAGTCATTGCAGGTGATATTAATACACCAGATGGTTCGGAAGAACCACGATAAGACAACCTCACTTGTCTTCAATTCAAAGGTGATGTTATGAGCCCTATCTGCCTTCCTAGACTTGAACTTGTGGTATATAATCTAGATCTCTTCTTGGTTGAAGAAAGGTGTCTCTAGCAGAACTTTCTGCCTCTCTTCATATAGAAGAGATGCTGCATATATGATTTGACAGTTGAAGAGCATCTTAATGATATTCCCATCAATGCAACTGATCCTGATGGCTGCTGTCTGTGTTCTTCACTGCTCATGTTGGTACCATTTTCCCTG